AGGTATTCAAGGGACCGAGGCTTCTGTTTTCAAGAGACAATGTCTTCTGTAATAGGCGTTTCATCTATATACCAGACGCCGTCTCTGGAACTATATAAAAGAGCTACAACAGCAGGTGCTACCACCTCCCTTTCGTTCCAATTTTCTGACAACAAGTCCCACTTTAACAACGTTCTGAGAGCTCACCTCGGTAACAATGGTGGCGGAAATTTTAAGAGCGGGGCTAAGCCTAGAGCTAGCTTTGTTCCTTCTTCAATTGCGACGCCCAATTCTTCCGTTCTGAGTGAAGAAGCGTTCAAGGGCTTAGGTCGGGGTTTCTCCGACAAAGACCCTTTGGATGATGTTATTGAAAACGATGACTACGTTTATGACGCTGAAACCGAGGCTTCTTCAGCTGTTGTCAACGAGGAGGAGCTCGACATCTCCAAGCTGGACTTGCCTTCGCGCCTTGTGGAGTCACTCCAGCAACGCGGGATTAGTCATCTTTTCCCCATTCAGGTGTTGTTCTTTATTTCTCCATTGATACTATATCGTTCTTTCTTTTTATCGCGTGATTTTTTTTCAAGGGCCAGCGTAACTTTATCGTTAATATTCTTCTTTACACGAAGAAGCGGAGTTGCGGTGAGTCACCCAGATATTCTAGTTCTAGTGTTATACAGATGTTGAACCCTACATTTTGATAGCTTGCTATGTTCACATGAAGATGTTCATTACAATTCATAGTTTCTGGTAAATCTTGTAGCCCAGAAGCCTCCTCATCTTCCTCTAAATAAACTCCATTCCCATAAGTTTATAAATAAATTAGAATTATTCCACTTCAAATAAATTTGTAACAAGGAATCTACAATTTGTGATCAGAGAGCTGTTTTAGTGCCGGCCCTCGAAGGTCGAGATCTTATTGCCCGAGCGAAGACTGGAACTGGAAAGACATTGGCATTTGGGATTCCAATTATTAAAGGGCTCACTGACGATGAACAAAGAACCTCCCAGAGGTACTCATCATTATCATTCATGCATTATAAGGCCTATAATTTCAGACTCAATCCATGCCTATCATGCACTTTCTGGTTTCTTGCAGACGATCTGGTCGTCTTCCCAAAGCATTAGTCCTTGCACCTACCAGGGAGTTAGCAAAGCAAGTGGAGAAAGAGATAAAAGAATCTGCACCCTATTTGAGCACGGTTTGTGTTTATGGGGGTGTTTCTTATGTTACACAACAAAATGCACTTTCTCGTGGTGTTGATGTAGTGGTTGGAACACCTGGTAGAATAATTGATCTAATAAACGGGAAGAGTCTTAAACTGAGTGAAGTTAAGTATTTGGTCCTTGATGAGGCTGATCAGATGCTTGCTGTTGGGTTTGAGGAGGATGTAGAATTAATTTTGGAGAAACTACCATCTGAACGGCAGAGCATGCTTTTTTCTGCAACCATGCCTACCTGGGTGAAGAAACTTGCCAGAAAATATTTGGACGATCCATTGACAATTGATTTGGTAAAGTGTACTTGTTTTTGCCTTAATTTTAAATGTACTTATAAGAATGGTGCAGATTATTTATGTCCTCTGTTTCATCCGTTTCAAAACTTCTCCATATCTCAGTAATCCTGACCCTATGTGGTTTAAGGCAGTTATTTGCATATTAATGTCTGATTTTTGCAGAATGAAAGTTAAAGTATGATTTTGATGCTCTTTATCTGGAAAGAAGAGTAATGATTGTGACACAGTTTTTTTTTTTTTACTTTACTCAACAGGTTGGTGAAGAGGAGGAAAAACTTGCGGAAGGGATCAAACTTCATGCAATATCAGCCACTGCCACTTCTAAGCGGACAATGCTTTCTGATCTCATAACTGTAAGATCTGTGATTTGCTGTTTTTTACCTCCCTTATTTAAATCTTTGTTGTTCGGCTATATTCTCTCTTAAACATATCAAAGGCATCCTCAATTAAACGTCTAGATATCTAACTTTTTACATATATTCCTTTTAAAATTTCTCGCCAAACTTGAACTCCTTAATAATGTTTTTATTTTAATGACCTCATTTGTTGTAAATTCAAATATACTAGATTAACTAGATTAATTATTTTCTATTTTAATTAAAATGCTAATGTTTGTTTATGTTGTCGTTTGATCATGTCAATTAGGTTTATGCAAAGGGTGGAAAGACTATTGTTTTTACCCAAACAAAAAGAGATGCTGATGAAGTATCATTGGCGTTAACAAATAGCATACCTTCTGAGGCACTGCATGGCGATATATCTCAGCATCAGAGAGAGAGAACATTAAATGGTTTTCGGCAAGGGAAATTCACAGTTCTTGTTGCCACTGATGTAGCTGCACGTGGACTTGATATTCCAAACGTTGATTTGGTAAGTTCAACAGGATGCTTTGATTCACATCTAAGATTTTGTGCTGGCTTGGTCTGAACTCTGAGGCCATAAACGCAACCACTTGAGTCTGTCTATGGTTTTGTTTCTTTGCATATAATGTGTTTTGGTCTGTTCCTGGCTTGTCTATGTTTTACTATTGAGGGGATTTTCACTACGCCTGACCTTTATGTTATATTACTCGCATTTCTATATTTTAATCATGTTTGTAATTTTACTGTGATTAGTTCATTTGACTGAAGAATTTTGTATTTGATGGAGCGTTTATGTCTAAACATATAAGTTAAGCCTAAAATTCTCTTTTCTTCTTTCTGACTAATGTTAACCTGCTTTCAATCAGATAAGTTTTAGATTTATATTTGAATTAAGAAGGCCCTTATATATTTTCCTTGGGCTAGTGCTAAGCTGTTGTGGCCTTCTTCTTTAGGTTATTCACTATGAACTTCCCAATGACCCTGAGACATTTGTGCATCGCTCTGGTCGTACTGGGCGTGCTGGAAAGGAGGGTACTTCGATTTTGATGTACACCGGTAGCCAGAGGAGAACGGTTAGATCTCTTGAGCGTGATGTAGGCTGTAAATTCGAATTCATTACTCCACCAGCTATAGATGATGTCTTGGAATCATCAGCTGACCAAGTGGTTGCCACACTTAATAGAGTTCATCCTGAATCCGTTGAGTTTTTCACCCCAACTGCACAAAAATTGATTGAGGAACAAGGAACAAGTGCCCTTGCTGCTGCACTAGCACATCTAAGTGGATTTTCAAAACCTCCCTCATCCCGGTCTCTTATCAACCATGAGCAGGTAGTGGAGAAACTCGTGTTTACACTGAAGTTAACAATTTACAATTTGTGCTTTCATTAGCCGACTTGTCAAGTTCAACAATGCCCTGTTTCTTCTTATTCTTTCTGTCTAATATTCTTCACGCTTTATGTGAAATCTTCCAAAACTAGTACAGTAAACACTGTCTTCTTGAATGCACAGAACGCTAATCTTGGGGCATCTACTAATCTATGGTGATGCTGTCTGTCATGAATCTTTTTTAAGATGCATTTGACTTTTATCAGGATGCTAGTACTTTGGTTTTGGGGGTTGTTTGGAATCAGCAAAAAGCACTTTTTAAAAGTGTTTTCACATAAATTAAGATAAAACTTCTCTCCTATACTTACTTTATATACTGTAAAATTGCTTTTACAACCACAGTTTGGTTTCTTCCCAAACACGTCTGAAAAAGTCCAATGTGCTGCATGCTAAATTTTCAGTTTATCTTATATATATATATCTCTGTTTATTGACTTACTTATATTACTTATTTAGCTCACTAAAATTATCTTCGATATTGCAGGGGTGGGTTACATTACAGCTGACTCGAGATCAAGGAGATTCTAGAAGGTTTCTGTCTGCAAGATCGGTCACTGGGTTTCTTTCCGATGTTTATTCTCCAGCCGCTGATGAAGTTGGAAAAATACATATAATTGCAGACGAAAGGGTTTGTATCTGTAGTTCTTCTTGCTGCTTGTGTCCTTGGGAATTTGTTTCTGTCTATTCAGGTGCAGGGAAACTGCTCAACTTGTTTGATGTCTTGACCATCAGGTTCAGGGGGCCGTTTTTGATCTTCCAGAGGAGATTGCTAAAGAGTTACTGAACAAGGAAATACCACCTGGCAACACTATTTCCAAGATCACTAAGGTAAATTGTAATATTCAATAACTATGTTCATTATACAAAGTTGAATTTATCTTTTGGTTTTCCCTCTATCAAAGCACCGTATTTTACTTGCCTCCTCCCCAAAATAAATAAATATATTTGGTATCAGCATATTGCCTTACTGAATAATGCATTACTCTGTGCCGGCAGTTGCCTCCTTTGCAAGATGATGGGCCTCCAAGTGATTTCTACGGGAAGTTTTCTGACAGAGATCGTAGAGGTTCAAGGGATCGGAGAGGTTTTAAAACCTCACGGAGATGGGACGGGGGCCGTGATTCTGATGATGAATTTGGTGATTCATATAAAAGAGGTGGTCGAAGTTTTAGAGCCAGCACTAGCTGGTCTCAAAAAGCAAGAAACAGCGGAGGCTTTGATGAATTTGGTGGTTCAAATCGGAAGGGTGGTCGAAGTTCTAGAGCTGGCAATAGCTGGTCTCAAAAGGCAAGAAGCGACGATGGGGATTGGCTAATTGGAGGTAGAAGATCAAGCAGGTCTTCATCGTCAGACAGGTATGACTTCTCCTGACATTTTAGTTTGCCCCTTCTGAAGGGATGTTTTATTTTGTACCTCTCGTGGAAGGCATTCCCTTTGCCTGATAAATGTGTTGTCCTCAAACTATACAAGGAAAAGTGTCTGGAAGAAAGACTGGGGGTTGGGTTTAGGAATTATGGTTGAGAAGATGGATAACATACTTGTTTCTCTGCTTAGAATTCTGTTGTTGTTTGGTAATTTTCTTCTTAAGACCCAGTAAGACCTATATTTGGCTGATATGTTATTGATTGCATTGCAGGGCCTTTGGAGGGGCTTGTTTTAACTGTGGCCAGTCTGGACACCGCGCATCTGAATGTCCCAACAAATTCGGCTTCTAAAATTTATGGTTTCATCATCTATGGGCCACCATGTTTCTCAGACTTGAGCTGCCGCAGGTGGCGGCAACCTAATGGGCTCAGGAAATTAAAAAATGCTTCACTGAAAGGACGACAGAAATAACGTTAATATGCCGTCATTGTCACCATACGGGTCTCCATTTTTGGCCTTGGAGTTCGTTCCCTCTCACCCGGGATGTAAAAGTTATCATTTGTATTGATTTTGTGATATTTAGCAAGAACAGCAATTATGTACGCCCCCGTGTTTCCTCCCCAGTTAATTTGTTACTAATATGTAATCTATTTCAAACTCGGTTCAGAAAACAATTGGAATGTATGAGCCAATACAAGCTGGTATGATTGGCTGAAAGGTTTTGGATAAGACTAGCACTTTGAATGAGTTCGAATCCATTTGGGGTCATCAAAATCTGCATTGGTTCGCAATCTGTGTACCCAAGGGTAATGGTTTACAATTGTTTTAGGGATATTTATAAGTTATTTACCAATAAACCCTTCATCTACAATGGAATCCATTTTCTTTCTTTCTTTCTGTTTTTTTGAAGTACGAGTCACACTTTTCTTAATTGGACCCATTTTTTCTTGAGAGCCAGGAACTTGAATGAATGGATGATGATATACAAAGGCATCTCACATGTTTCCATGTCTAGGTTCGGACTAGCAGTCTCATTTTTGGCGAATCAAACTTGCATTTTGGATGAGCAGCTCGAAAATGGAATAGATAAGAGTATGAAACATAAATACACATTATTAAGTATAATGATACAATTTTTTCTTTCATTCAAAAGGCGGGATTCGTATTGAGTGCTTTCCATCGTTCCATGAGAAGTAGGCGTAGCAGATGTTAAGAATAAGAACCATGCGGCCAAGTTGGTCAAAATTTTGTCGCATTTAAACGCTTTCCGACCTGGGATCGGATGAATGAAAGTAACTTAAACAAGGTTCCCCGCTGTAAATCAACAAAACCATGCGTACAAGACAAAGGATCCAGAAAACAAGACCGCAGACGACACAATTCTCATCTCATTCCAAATATTACGCACCGTCACCATAGCTAGCTGCTAGCCATTTACCTGCCAAAAAGAATACTCAAGACGGTTCTGAAAATGGGACCCCTCTTGCTACTCAGAACTTCCCTCACAGCCTTCTCGTCAGCGACAAATCCTCTAGTCTTCATTTGCTCCAAAAAGTGTGTGGCCTCTTCCGCTTTGTCATCTCTAGCCAATGCCTCAAACACGGCCGTGTAAGTCACAGCATTGGGTTTCATGCCCTTTTCCATCATTTCCAACATATATTTCTTGGCATCTCCCAAAAACTTGGAATCAGAAGCAAGTCCCTTAATAAGAACAGTGTAGGTATAAGCATTGGGAGACACCCCAGAAGCAAGCATGCGCATATAAACTTTGAGGGCCTCCTTGGGCTGACCAGCATTGGCATAGGCCTCGATGATAGCCGTGTGAGCCACCACGTCGGGCATTTGACCTTTGTCTTTTATCTGACCGAACAGCTCCAAAGCCTCGTGAGTGAGACCGTCTTTGGACAATGCGTCGAACATCTTGACTGCGTGATTTAGCAACCCGTCGCCGCTTCTCATGTTGTGAAAGATCTCTTGCAAATCTTTTGGATCCTTGGGCTCTTCAATCGCCGGCTTTTTATTGAAGGGGTCATAAGGCGGTGGTAGCTTCTTGTTCTTGTTAGCTTCTTTCTGGGCATCTTTAGAGTCGTCCTCATTTTCACCCTCAGAATCGGATAGAGAAAAATTGACCTTGGTGTCGACCTTCTTCTTGGCGGGATTTGCTTCAGAGCTACAAAATAACCTAGGACTAGGGTTATTGAAGTTCGCGATTTTAAGGAAAGTATATTCAGAGGAAGGTAGAGGCAATGTAGAAAATCTGCATGGGAGGCGCCTAAAGAAGAAAGAGCAGGCAGAGGAGATATTGCTGCGGTTATTGGCGAAGATTAGAGCACCACATAAAGCGGAGGTGGTGGCTTTTACCCTGAAAGCCATTGATATGCTTTCCTTGCCGCCGTCAGGTGCTTCCTCTTCCCATGTTGCTTCGATATCTAAATTCTAATGCTTCTCGAAGATTCGTTCGTATCCCGGACGCCGAGTATTATTAAGGGAGAATTATAATGAGGTCCCAAGTAATTAAAAAACAAGTCTCAGAGGTTGTCATTCTCACTGTAGGACTTGTTATTACAGGCTGCTCAGGTTGTTACTTGGGACTTTGTAGTGATTATTTCTCTTATGTGGGACTTGAATGTAATTCTCCCTATTATTATTAATATACACATTTCATAACTTGTAAAATAATAATAAAACTAATTTCACATTGATGATCCCTCGATTCTAATCGTTCAGCGCTTACTGTCGGATAAAAAGGATTAAAATTTTTTGGTAGGATGATTTTATGGAAATGTTTCAATTGGATTATGCGGATAACGGCATGTAATTAAAATTAGTTAAAAACTTTTACTTTACCAAGAAAATAGTGTAATCTTCCGAAAATATTAGGCCAACTTGCATTCTCAATTCTCTGCTTCTCTCTACCGGTACATCATAACAGCTCAAAGACTTCAGCCGTAAAATGTTCACAACAAGTCCTGGGTCCTCCTCCTCAGTTCCGAATCAGACTCGACCTGCACTTCCCACGCAAGATCCCACCCTCTCTTAACCCATGTTTCAGCCTCCATCACAGTACACCAGCCCACCTTCGCAGAAAATTCCCTAATCCCCCTCCCTTGGCAATCTCTCTGTGTCGTCGTTTGTTGGAAATATGAGTTCGTGGGCAGCAGCTTTGAGAAATGCCTCCTCTCCTCGGAAAGCACTACATTTATATGCTCACATGCACCGCAACGCGGTTCATTTTGATAGTTTCTGCATTCTCTTCACCTTAAAATCTTGTACTTCTCTGCAGAACGCCGCCATTACTCGTCACCTTCATGCCCATATCGTGAAGCTTGGCTTTAGCTCTCACGTCTATGTAGCAACATCTCTCCTGAATGCCTACATTGCTGTTTCCTTTCCGGATGCTTGCCTATTGTTCGACGAAATGCCCGAGAAAAGCATAATATCGTGGAACTCGATGATTACCGGATATTCAAGGTTAGGGGATATCCCAGGAGCACGGTCAGTTTTCGATGAAATGCCGCACTGGGACGTGGCTTCGTGGTCTGCCATGATTGCTGCTTACGCGAATAATGGATATTATCAACCAGGTTTATCACTCTTTCGAAGTATGGTGGCGGGTGGGAGATTTAGACCGGATGAAATCACTGTCAATTCAGTTTTATCAGTTTGTGCCCACATGGGCGCTCTTGGATTATTAGCCGGGAAATCTGTTCATGGTTTCATGGTGAAGAATGGATGGGACTTGAGTGTGGAATTAGGTACCGTTCTAGTTAACATGTATGCTAAATGTGGGTTTTTGAAATTTGCTTCCCAAGTTTTTGCACTGATGCAAGAAAGAAATGTCATATCTTGGACTTCACTGATCTGCGGCTTCGCCCAGCATGGGTACAACGAAGAAGCATTAACCATATTTGAGAAGATGCAGCTAGCGGGAATCAGACCCAATGAACTGACTTTCACAGGAGTGCTCAGTGCTTGTGTTCACGCTGGGTCAGTCGGGGAGGGACGTGAGTATTTCAAGATGATCGAAAGGCACGGGCTAGAACCAAGGATCCAACATTATGGATGCATGGTTGATCTGCTTGGGAAAGCAGGGAAGCTAGAGGAAGCTTACGAGGTGATCAGAGCAATGAAGCTTGAACCAAACGTCGTCGTGTGGGGATCTTTCTTGTCGGCTTGCAAGGAGCACGGGCAGTTTGAGATGGCTGAGAGAGTGATTGGGCAGGTCTTGAGGATGGTAAAACCAGAAAATGATGGAGGGATGTACACGCTCATATGTGATTTGTATGTTTTGGGGCAGAAGAGGGAAGAGGCTGAAAGGTTGAGGAAATTGATGATTGATTCCAACGTGAGGAAGTCCAGGGGCTCTAGTTTTGTCAGAACCTTGCTCGGATAGTCCTCTCATTTTTATCCCATCCTCAGTACATATTAAACTACTCATCCGGTCTTAAATATAAAATCTTTATACATACTAATATAAGGTTCTTATATTTAGAATCAGAAGAGTACTACCTTAGATCTTAAATATAAAAACTAGTTAATTAATTTGAATAGATTAAGAAAATAAGTTATGTTAGTTATTTATAATAAATAGTTGTTATCTTTTCTAAAATATCACTACTCATCAAATGTATTGGTTAGAACTACCATTATAAAAAAGACTATCTTAAAAAAAAATACATAAATAAAAGACAAAGTAGATTAAAGTCTTATAATTAAAATCAAAATAAAAATCAAATAAAATCTTATATTAAAGACTAGAAATAATAGTAAATACTGTTATTTTAATTTTTTTTAATTATTTGATGATGTGGCTATTAATTTATCCTTCTTCTATTTATACTTTATTTATATATTCCTTCTCTTATATTAATTCATGGAAAGTTTTTGAAGGTAATGATAGAGTTCCAATCAACTTTCAAATCCATCAATACAAACCTTTGAAAATCTTTTAAGGATTCTTATAATTTGTTTTTTTAATGAAATCTGCATAATCTTGAAGATGCCAATTTTTCCTTTGTCCTTCGTGCTTGTCGCATGCTCCCCATTTGTCTTCAAACACAAGTCAAAGCTCACAAAATTTCTTTGCCCGTGTGAACACCACTTGGCCTTTCCGTTTTAAATTTTTTTTTTTTCAACTTTTAGATTAATATATTTTAATAATTGATATTTTAATTTTTATAAATTATTTATAAAATTTTTAAAAATATTAAGTGTGGTTGCAAACCATTAAAATTAAATTTTAATAAAATTTTTAATTTATTATTTATTTATTAAAAAAATTTAAATCTTAATTATTAAAATATTAATTTAACATTTAAAAAAATAGAAAAGAAAGAGAATGAAGAAGAAAGATGAGAGGTTTCCGCGCCATGTACGGGATTTCTCGTCCGGAGAACCCTCAAGTAAATAGCCACTCTGGCGGGTTAAAGCCCAGTCAATCAGTTTCAATTTTCAAATCGAGGTCACATTTTTCGCTCTATACTCTGCTCCCGCTCCGCATTTGTCGACTCCTGCGATTACTTACCCTAGCTTCTAGGTTCGGTTTCTCCCACTGTCTCCTTAGTTTTCTTCTGCAAATGTAATTGTCATGTTATTCTTCTCCATCTGTTTTATTTTACTTCTAATTTCGAATTTCGAATTTCGAATCTACCATTGTGGATTCCTTTCTTTTCTTCTTTTTCAATACTTGCTCGGTAACCAGCATTGCCAGTCTCGTTGGAGAGATTTCAAATGTTAAATACTCAAAATTATGAGCTCGCTGATGTTCGGCCGTAACTGATCATGGTTCTGAAACGAGCCTTCTATCCTGTCGAATTTTAGATCGCAATGAAAAATTTAGATTTATATCACAATCGATTAGCATTCTGTTTTTTTTTTTTTTGTGTTTATTATATCTCATACACTCCAGTTTTGCTTCGAGCTCGTTAGGGCTAGGATGCTCATGTCAAGATTTGTGTGTCAGATCTTTTGCTCTTCATCCCCGCTCTCATGTATTTTACGAATAGGGCGTAGGCTGTTGAGTGATCAAATATGGCAGAACTGAGCTTGGGTATTCTTATTGATGTTGTTGATGAGGAATGGATGAGAGATACACTTCCTGATGATGGTATGTTCTTACCCTGTTTGGGATATAAGCTCCTGTGGTTACAAACATAACGAAGCATGTCTCCGTTATAGTCGTTTGAGCTTGATGTATAAGCGACTCAACCTATCGTTCTTACAGATCTTCCACTGCCTCCAACACTGATAGTGCGAACAGATGATACTGAGGAATCGAGTATGTTATCCTAAATCTTAATTGAGTCATGTTGTTTATTATTACTTTCGGTTAATCTGAGTAGATCAGAAAAGTTTGCTAAGCTAATTGTTCGTAATAAATGTGTTATTTTTCCTAAAATACCATTGTTAATTATGTATATTAGCTAGATCTATCATTTAATAAAACTTTTAATATGGGTAATTATTAAAAAAAATAGATAGATAAATACGAGAGATAAAATGGATTGAATTTTTATATTTAAGATCAAATTAAAAATCAAATTAATTCATATATGAAGGATGGAAGTTAGTATTTATATAGTATTTTATGGATAAACTCTTTCTTCAATTCCATCAAAAATGTAAAATCTTTTTAAAATCGCAACGCTTGCATCAGTTTTCTACGATTGCAAGGTAACTTACATGTTTGTTAGTCTGTAAAATCTCGTGACGCAACAGGAGGGGAAATAGAAAGAGGGAAAAAAATGAAATTGTTTCTTGCTAAACATGTCCAGATTGGGAAATTGCATCTTTGGACAACCTTACGTGAAACAAATTACTGAGGTTATAATAATTGTACACCTTTTATTGGAGATTTGTATCCGGTTCTCTTCTTGACACATTGCTTTGCTGTTAACCAGACCAGGAGACTCAACAAGCCAATGCGGATTCTTGGCATGATCTTGCCATGGGCCCAGAATAGAAACCTTATTTTTCTGAGTGTCGTGCTTGGCGGTAAGTAGATGGTGTTTTCTGTATTTTTGTGTCATATCATCCGCTTTGTGCTTCTATCAAGTCTAATGTTGAATTCCTAGTTTTTGTTTTGTTGTACTTATAGAAGGAATGTTAATGAGATATCAACTTAACTTGGTGGCCTCTTGAGCTATCTCATTTATTTTATATGATCTAGGGTACATATGGTGCATCCTACTAGCACTTATGATAGATTTATATCCATGCACTTTGTTCTAAAGATGAAAAATGGCATATTGATTAGTGGTCAACCCGGACGTAAGATGATCCTTATCATAAGAAATTCACAGGCTAGTAATTTCTAGTGCTGCTTATGTTGATTTTAGATTACGGCACTCAGGTCCGAGTTGCAGCTAACACGCTGCCTCTGTAAATCTAGGTCCTTAACATTTTCAATCCCATATCGAGGAAGTTGATGAAAATGATTCGGTGTCCAGCTTAGTCAGGTTGACAGGAACATTCTACTTTTGTTCATTTCCAACTTGGTTGGATCTAGAATATTTTAGCTTTCACAGCTTTGCATTCTGAGAAGTACAAGTTTCACATTTAACGTGCTTTACTGTTATTTTCCTTCATCCGGGCCGTTAATCCAACAAGTATAACATGTAGACTAATATACACTTTCTTTATATGGATCATTTAGTTTTCTTCAATATGATTTTTAAGAGCGCGCGCGCACACACATATATATGAACACAGTTTGCAATTTGAGCTGCGCAATGGTTCATAACTTCTGGCCTTAAAAAAATAATTCTAACCAGCTTGCAGAAAGTGGCAACCCTCGAACACTGAGGCCTTTCTGCTTGTGCAGCATTAATGCGTAGTAACATTGCGGTATTTTTTTTTTTGGGGGGGGGAATGTTTGGATAATGCATAGGACGGTTGCATCTATAGTGCATTAAAACTGTGGAGTACAAGTTACAAAAAGGTAAAAAATAAAGAAATCAGTTCTTCAGTGTTCTCGGATGCCTCGTCATAATGCATCAGACAACATATTGGCATAGCTACGGATGAAATTTCCAGTGCAGACGAGGGGGGAATGAACCTTCTTCGGAGAAATATATGTACTCTAGAAGCTTCTTGCGGCTACTATAATAGATTGCCTTCAATGGAATGCTTTATTTACAGACAAAAATAACTTAAACCACACAATCATCTCCCATGTGCAAATATCAAAAGGACAGTAAGAATACTAATCTTAGTGGAATAGAAGTTAGGGAGATGTATGCTTCTTGAATCATTCTTTCGTGGTTTATAAATTATCAATTTTAGTCCAAGTGCAGGATGGTTACTTCAAGATGAGAAGAGGGACAAATGAATGTGGCATTGAGAAATATGTGTTGACGTTGATGCTGATGGCGGTGCTTCTTCTCAATGTAAATTTATATGACCCAACCGGATTCTGGACGTGCATTAAACATGCCTTGACCAGAGTGTTGTGCTGTTATTGTAAGAACGTGAACAAAATGTGTGAAAATTTAAATTATGATCATGAAAGACTCTTGCATTATAAGCAGGGGATGAAGGGTGGTGACTAATCCGAGTTGCTGTTAAATCACTAAGAATCAGTAAAATCGCAGCAATGAGCCTAGAACTTCGAGCAAATGATGAACCCTCTAAATCTGCCCATGATGATGATGCTCAAATTGAATATGATGATTAATATATCAGGGCATACGATTTCCTCCCGGCAAAATGGAGGGTGGATAATTCGGGTAGATCAAAGAATGGGTCGCGTGGCATGTTATAATAATGGAGCCTGCTAAAAGAATGAAAGTGATGGACCAATGGGGATGGCTGACGGGGTTTTGTTTTTCCCCCGAATCACCTGTTTGTGGACCAGGGAAGGGGGAAATTTTCATTACATAGTTTGAAGATGGTGTGAGACGGGACCAAGCTAAAAGAAGGTATCCTTAATAGTAGTAAATGCTGGGAAATCATAGGCCACCGGGGTTCCTGGACATTCCACATCATCGTATAAGGGATATAAAAGGAGCAATTCGGGCCTCAGGGGTTAATGTTCATATAAAAATAAAAAAGGTTCATATAAAAATAACTTTCTGCTCAGAAAATTAAAAAAAAAAATCGGAGTAATGTGAATGGAACAGAATTCATGGGAGGTTGGATCCCCTGCGAATCTCAGATACAGGCTCATTTTGCGTTGTAGTCCAGATAATTCTAAAGACGTGATTTGATAATAATGATTTCAAGTTACAACGAGATAATGTTTGTCATTAAAAAATCAAAGGAAAATCCCGGCAAGATTGAGGTGGCTGCCCTCTCAAGCCTCAACGCCTCTCCCATACTTCCGTAAAATTATCTTTTGTTTTACTATTATTCTCAGCAACCAATCCTGCCGCCAATGACCAGTTGTCCTACGGTACTTGAGTGTTTTTTTTTTTTAATTACTCATGTGTGTTGTTGAATTCCTGCATTGGCATGTGCGTGTTAATTTGATTACATTAAAAAAAAAAACCTGCACATCACATTCGATTTTATTTTTTAGAAAAATATTCTAATTTTTTATATTTTCCCTTAATTGAAAAAATATCTCTTATTTTAAAAATTTACACAAATATTAATGGAAAAAAAACACGTTCTAAACAAATTATTTCATCAGGGCAATCAGATCGGAGTTGCAGCTAACATGAAGCATCAAGGAGTGCAATACAAGAAACAACATCCGTGATTTTCTTACGTCAAGATGGCGGATCAAACAAGAAGGTTTCAGATTTTCAACGAAGCTCTCTCCTCCTCGTAAGCATTCCGAATTGCCGTCATTCTTAGCCCAAAACAAAAACAAAAAAGATGCGGTCAAAACAGGAAAGGATGCTAGCCTCGTGAGCATTCCAAGAACACCCCAACCAGTGTGAACAACATTCCCTCATTGTGAAACAGGGACTCTGTATCTTCCCGCAGACTTGCAGCGACACCGCCACTCAAGCACGTGATTGTCGCGCAGCAGCAAGAGGCATAGTGGTTGAGATTAAAAAACAATTGAGATGCAGCATTAAACGCAAAATGGCATATGATTCGGTCAGAAGAAACAGACGCATATGGTTCTGTCCAATAAAAGCATAATTGATGCTTGATGGTGATTGACGACGACGGGCATTATCACATCAACAACTTTTCTCCTCTGCAATATCAGACGTGCCATTTATATTTTCACATAGCCTCATAATTTGACAATAGAGCTTTCATGGTATTAGCTACGTTTTTTTTCATCAAGAGAGTTTATTTTTAATTTAATTTTAATTATTTTATTTTTTATATTTATTTATTTTTTTAAATAACTATCGTAGTAATTACGTATGTTAAATATTTCATCAAATAGTAATTATAACTAATATATATAATTAATAAATGTATTTTAGGAGAGACGATACCTATTTATAACAAATAACTAATTTAACTAATTTTTTTAATTTTTTTAAATTAGTTAACTAAATCTTATATTAAAGATCTGAAGTAGCATTAAAAATTGAAAAATGTTAATTAAAAAAATTGCACGCAGAAAAGTAGTTTTAAGGAATAAGATCGTTAAATGAAACAATGACTATTGAGGTAAAAATATCAATTTTGTAAGAGCACCACATCTTGCTTGGAAAATCGTACAGTGAGTAGCCACTCGCACTTGGCCAAGAATTCGCAGACATGAGAGGTACAATGACCAGCGTGGGAGGAATTGGGCCCTGTAAAAATGATTGCGAGCCCCAATAAACCCGAATATCATATATACTTCTATTTTCCCTGCTCAAAGTTTCTCTGCCCATCGTTTTCTTGTTTCTTCTTCTTCTACGAGCAAGCGCAGGTCTGATGATGGTAGGATTATGGATTATTCATATATACCATCGATCTTTGCCGAGCAGTATATTATTCCGCAGCATACAGAACGGTCGGAGAGGATAATTGCCAGTAATTAAACGGTATGGGGCCACTGTTGATGGGCAGTTGGGCATCTCGCAGACGAAGCCATTTTGTCACAAAAGACTATTCGCTGCGTACGCGGTTTAAAATTAAAGGCAAACCAGTGATATGCTGCAATGTATAAACTATAAAGTAATACAATAAACTAATGGTAAAGCAAAAAGGGCAAACAGACTTATAGAACGAATAAAGATTCGAAATTTTATCACATACTACACGCATTTCACGTCGTACTGTCAGGATCCGGGGACGAGGGATTGAAAGCATCGAAAAAAGTATAAAGAAGACGACTCACTAGTTGTTCAGCAGTAATACAAATCAGGAGTTTTCTGGGAAAATCAAAGGGAAGAAGAGAAAGGGAAAATCCACTTATTTAAGCCTTGTGAGAAGCGGGACAGCAGGAGAAAAGAATTCACCTGTACGTTCGAATGATGTGACTAGCCATTTTATTTAGCCCAATTCTGAGATTTTCTTTCATTCTACATTTCTGTTGCGGTGAGCTCATAACATTTTGCTTAACGAAACTAACTGCGGAAAATTTGAGCTCCCACAAAAAAAAAAAAGAAAAACTTCACGGGTTTGGTACGAGTGCGCGCCTGTTTGGGTTCGGTGTGTGGAATAGAGTGAGCGCCAGCAGAGTTGTGAAAAGTTTAGAGGAGTGAAAATATGTCGTTACAGAAAGAGCTGGATCAGGTGATGAAGTGCAGAGGAGGATCAGTCCTCGGGAAGAAGACCATTTTGAAGAGTGACCATTTTCCAGGTTGCCAGAACAAACGCTTGTCTCCACAGATTGAAGGCGCTCCCAATTATCGTCAGGTATTTAACATCATTCACATTGGTCTTGCTTCCGCTTATAGCATGCGTGTTCATTGGCCTTAGCTGGACTAACTTGTCCAGGCAGGTTTAATTCTGCAAAGAATTTATTGCGTCTTCAATTAAATTTTATGACTATTATTTTACCTGCTCTTGTCTTAGTTGGAAACCCAAGCTTTGTTTCTTTTTCTCATTGCTGTGAACTGTGAAGAGTCATTTACGACCATATTAAGAGCAGAGTTTCAACTTTTGTTTACAGCATTTCTGATACGAGGGAAACCTGGTCTTCAGTTTATAATTTTTAGGTCCGAATCACCTCACCAAGAAGCACCATCTGTGTGGTGGAATCTACTTATTATTGGCGCCCTCGAATATGAGACGCTTATTCATCTTGTCTTGCTAAATTGGGTTGCATTTTCTCACCTTCTTGACATCTTTTTCTTCCTTTAATGATTACTGTTGCTAGGCCGACTCCTTACATGTTCACGGTGTTGCTATCCCAACAATTGAGGGTATTCAAAATGTTCTCAAGCATATTGGTGCGCAAAGTGGGGGGAGAAAAGCACGAGTTATTTGGTTTAATCTTCGTGAGGAACCGGTACGTCCGTTTGCTGGTGACTTTAACAACTCAATTTGCTTGTTTGGTCCAACAACATGGTCATACATGTTGTCATGCATTAGTTGATTCTCGGTCCGATCATCTAGTAAAGTGTAGCTAATTGTATTCCTCCCCCCCCCCCCAATTTTTCAGTTTTTCTTTCCCTTGTCTTTTTCCAACGAGGCCAGTAGAACCTTTCTGCATCATTTCCATGTCATTCTCTGTGGTTTTTAGCTTTTGACGTTCTATTTGATTAAACTCCCATTGTTTGATTTGGCTATTCTCCAAAGAACACCCTTAGCATCTTTTCTAAAATTTCACTTCTTTCTCCTTTCCTTGCAATCAGGTTGTGTACATTAATGGACGCCCCTTTGTTCTGCGTGATGTGGAGAAACCATTCACCAACCTTGAGTACACGGTATGTTGTTTTAAAAATCTTAATGCTCTAACTTGTTGTGTTCGTTTTGCTTAATGGCCTATGTTTATGTGGAATGGCTAGATTTTATGTTGGCTATCTACCTAATGTAACTTTTACCACAGGGGATTATCTTCTTTGGGTTATATTCAGTTCACTTATGGTACAGTTGAAATGGCTTTGCCTTTTTAACTTCTTCTGGCTTTTTTTTTGTTTTTTTTAAAACTGAACTAGGGTATCGATAGGGAAAGGGCTGAGCAAATGGAAGATCGTTTGAAGGAAGACATCCTGTTGGAAGCTGCAAGGTATGTGGTTTTCCTGTCTGTCACATGCAATTCATCTTTTTTATTAGCAAATCCTCCATGCCTGATGCCCACACTTAACTGCACCTTGACATGATAGATATGGAAATAAGATCCTTGTAACTGATGAACTGCCAGATGGTCATATGGTAGACCAGTGGGAACCAGTGTCATGTAATTCTGTGAAGACACCACTTGAGGTATAGGTGGAACTTGTTTATTTTGGGTGCTTGAGGTTACTCTGTCAGTTTGTCTTAATGGACTTCATCGAACCTGTTTTCTTTGCTGTAGGTGTATAAGGAATTGCAAATGGAAGGATACCTAGTTGATTATGAACGTGTTCCTATAACAGATGAAAAATCACCAGAAGAGATGGATTTTGATGCTTTAGTGAGTTTTCATGCAGAAATTATTTGTTTGGGTGTGATTGATTATTCTTTCACTCTATCTATGATGCTCTGTCATATATTAACATCATTAATTGAATATGTTCTTTTGGTACAATCCAAGGGTTGAGTGATGTGGCCTACTTTTTTGTTACTTTGTGAGAGACCTGCTGATAAACAATTCTTGGTAGGCGTTTGGGCCAAAGGAAAGAAAATAGAGGGGAAAGAAAATTTTGGAAGAGTTAAAAAGATTCTCCTTGTTTGGATGAACTTAGAAAGTAAAGCGAGAAAGAAAATACGAATAAAATTCTAAAAGCATTCTCATTTTTTCTCTTCATCTTGAATTCTTAGATATTGTTCCTTGGACTTTCTTCTCTTTACTTTCCGTTCATCCAAATATAGCACAGATTCTTAAGCCCGTAGTTCTGGTACAAAAAGCATTGACAAAGAAAAATCATTCTCAATTTCTTGAAACCGTGGTGTTTTCATGTGCCTTAGCTACTTTTCATTGTGATTTTAGGTTCACAAAATTTCTCAGGCTGATGTAAACACAGAGATAATTTTTAATTGTCAAATGGGGCGTGGACGAACTACAACTGGAATGGTCATTGCAACTCTGATTTACCTTAATCGAATTGGAGACTCTGGTACTCCTTCCTCTGTAATTTTTTCTACTTTTCTAACTTGTGCCCTTTTTTTTTGGGTAACCTTTTCATAGTTCGCCTGAGAATTGTCAATCAGGTAGTTTATTTATAAAAGGGAGTGGTACTTTGCTTTTCTATGGATTGATATTGTCTACATCGAATAACCCTTGTTTGACTAAGTGGGGACCAGTGCTTGGAAAGAAAGTTGAACATATGCTCAACATGATACAATTTCCATTACCAGACGCCTTGGCTATCTGATC